GTTTAGGGATTTAATTAGAGAATTTTGATGTTAGATTTAATAGTGAAGGTTGAAAGTAATAAGGGTATTATGGTCATTTTACACGGAAGATTTTTATTTCCCTTTATATAAGACATATACATGTGGAATGAGGGAAAGAAGAGAAAGAGAAATCTGGAAGCCTGTTTTTTCTTCTTCCTTCTTCATACGTGAGAGCCAAGCAAAGGTAAGATTTCTTGTTAGTTATTTCTTGCTGAATTTATGGTTGGTTTATGATCATTAGATGATAATTAAGCTTAAGGAAATCTTAAGTTATTTTAAAATCAAAGGATGAAGGAGTTAGGAGAGATTAAAGATTTTGAGTTTTTGAATGAAAACTTGGAATAGAGTTAATAAGTAGAATTAGAAGTTAAATTTGACTTGTCATCAGTATAATTAAAAGTATGAAGTGTTAGAATTGAATTTAGAACAAGTAAAAATTTGGTATGATTCTTGAATTTCATATGAATGATGAGAGTTTGAGGATAAAAATGTGTTAAAGGTTTAGAAATGTGTTTGACTATATATACTTAAGTTAAGTGGGTGAAAGGGGTTCAAACATGAGGTGTTTGAGTTGAAATGAAGTAATTTTTGGGCTAAAAGTGATTTCTGGGCTAGGGGTATCGGTACCTATTCATCAGGTACTGATACTTCAAGAGTAAAATAAAGGAAGGAATTCAAGGGGTATCGATACCTAAAGAACAATATCGATACCAAGGGTACCGATACCTTAAGGAAGGTATCGATACCATTTTTGAACGAAAAATTACAGAATGCAATATGGGTATTGATACTGAGGCATGGTATCGATACCTCAGTTAAGGGATGCATCGATACCTATAGGGGGTACCGATACTAGTTTAAATAGAAAATGAAATTTAGACTTTCTTTTAGTTTAAGAAATGAAGATCAGAGTATGATATTTGGAATATTGATATGTATAAATGTATGATTGTGTAAATATTGATCGAGAGCAATGTTCGGACAAGTCGACAAGTAATAGTCATTGAGAAGAGATAGGGGGTCAGTATTGGCTAGTGAGGCCATGTGAATGCATATTAGTTAGTATAAGATGGTTAAGAGAAATAAGACTTGCGACGAGTTTATTTCCTATATTAAATGCATGAACTCATAAATGTAAGTATATGTTTATAAGAGTGTATGTGTTATATGCATGTGTTACATGATTTGTATGATTATATGCTAGTGTGATAAGACATGTGAACTGGTATAAGTGATCTATGCGATATATGAACATAAGAGAGTAATTAACATGAATTATGTGATCATATGAGATATATGATAATGAGATATGAAATTCCATGAGAATGTTATATGACATATGTGATAAGAAGCCATGAGCTCATATGAATATGTGATATGAATATGAAAAAGGATATGTGAAATGTCATAAATGATATTGCCCATGTTACGTAATAAGAGAGCTAGGGGTATAGTTGGCATGCCAAGAGTCAAGGGTTCTACGTGGTCCTTCGGGACATATATGTAATTTTGTGGAACATATATGTGGTACTTCGGTACATTTATTTGGTCCATTGTATTATGTATATGGTTCTTAAGGAGTGGTCCTTCGAGACATATGTGATATGTGATCCTTCGAGACATATGTGATATGTGGTCCTTCGGGACAAATTCTAAGTGCCCCTAGTGGGAATTATATGAGCTGTGGTGATAGCATAAGTGCACAACCTCAGTGAACTCACATATCTTTAGTTCTCCAAAGTGTACATGGGCTAAACAAAGAGATAATATCAAGAAACTTGATATGATAATATGTGTGTTCCTTGGTGAAATGATATATGTATTATAGGATTTGTATAAATGATGAGTACAAGATTATAAGATAAAAGAAAATAAATGATAATATATGATAATAATAAGAATGAAGATAATTTATGTATGTGCATATGTGAATTTGATATATGAACTGATATATGCTTGTGTATGATATAATAATAGTAATTGTTCATGCATGATTATAAGTTAGAATTTCCTTTATATGTTTTTTATGCCTCACTAAGTCATCGACTTAGCATATGAGTGTTTCACACGTAGGTTTCGGAAATGAGAAGAGAAGCGAAGAGGAGCAAGACAGGTCAGATTCTCATTTTCACATATCATATCAGAATTGTAATTGAGTATATGTATTTTGTTATATAGAGTGTAGTTGGCATGTAGTCTAAAGTTTTAAATTGTACAAGCTCTAATATTTTGTAAAAACCAATGGATTTTTAAATAAATAAAAAGTAATTATTTTCTTGAATTGTGAATTTAACTTTTAGTAATTTTGTAAAGGAAATGTTTGAAAAGTCAATGTGACACTCGGACTTGGATCCGATCGGATACGGGCTAGGGGTGTTACAAAGATAAAACTTTACCATTTGTTATGGTAGACGTCAAATCAGTTTGAAATTAAATACTATTAATCTTTTACTCAAAAGTGGATACTTTTCACCTTTGAGATTGATCAACAACCACTTTATTCATCAAACTTGGTGATGATTGTAAATTTCAGACCTTAGGTTTGTTGTTGAAAAAAATTTAATGTGTCACATCAACATTTCCTAATGACAACCATCATATTGAAAGTGAAACAAAAATTTAGTGATTGTAATGTCAGTCTTAAAATTTTGGGGACTAAAGTGGAGGCTCCTTAAAATTTGAATGACCACAAATGTAATTTACCCTTCAAAAATATGACTAACTGTTTGCTTCGCTACACCCGTAGATAGAATACTATGAAAACAGATTAGGATTCGATTCAAATAACTCACAACTTTATCTACTCGAGTCAAAAATAGTGTGGATGTTTATTGTTTACATTTTAAGATCAACTTCAACACGCAACGGATGAGGGAAGTCATGCTGCCTCTCTAAGACCGTAACACTGTGGATCTAAGTGGATGGAAGGCCAGATCATATTGAAACAAAGATTTTGATGTCAACTAAAATACTGATAAACATCAATAAAATCCACATGCACATGGTTTTGGACAGGCCTGAAGTGAGGGGGGGGGGGACTAATACATGAAACAACTTTACAACCAGAATGGTGTCAGGACAAAGAAAAGAGAATGATTCAAACCAAGTGGTCATAAATTATGAAGAAACGAATCCATGTAAATCTTAGTTGTATTCAGATATCTAGAAATATGCATATCCAAGGAATCTTCAATCACATCCATTTTTGCCAACCATAGCTGGAAGAGACCCCATCACATCCCCTCTTATTCCCATCATAATATAATCAAGGGTAAACTATACTAGAGACTTACCAACTATAGCTTCTTTTCATTTTGATCACTATTTTTGAATTCTTGTTAATTAGACCATCCAACTATTTAAATACATTCAATCAGGTCACTTGCTGTTAACATTTAACGGAAGTGTTGATGTGGCAGTTAATAAAATTTGTATAATTATACATTTGGTCATTGTTACTTACATATTATCTCAATTTGGTCTTAAATTTAATATTCGAATCTGATCATGTCACATGTCACTACCCGATTGGAGGATTTAATTTATTTTAATTTAATATATTTAGTTTCCACCAATCAGAAGGTGACATGTGTCATCCTCTGGTGGAAAGAAAATTAAGAGTGGTAAAAAGGGCACAAGGGATTCAAACCAGAATCCATTAAGGGAGAAGACAGAAGCCCAACCATTAGGCCAAGTTTATTTTTTGGTTTAAAGATGACTACATATTATATATATTTTATTTCCAAATATAATCTTAAATGCTTAACTATAAAAATATATATTTTATTAATTTTTATTAATTTATCGAATATATTTTTTTGGTTTAAAGTAGGCCAAGTTTGTTATTTGAGGTAAGAATATATATTTAAAATATTTTAAAATATTTAAATTCATAACTATAAAATATATATTTTATTATTTTTTCTTAATTTATCGATTATATATATTTTTGGTTTAAAGTATGCTAAGTTTATTATTTAAGTTAAGAATATATATTTAAAATATTTAAATTCTTAACTATAAAAATATGTATTTTATTATTTTTTCTTAATTTATCGAATATTTTTTAATTTAAAGTAGTCCAAGTTTATTATTTAAGTTAAGAATATATGTTTAAATTCTTAACTATAAAAAATATTTTTTATTATTTTTTCTTAATTTATTGAATATATATTTTAAAATATTATAAAAATAAAATGTAAATATTTAAGTTAAGATAAAAAAATATTTTATAGTTAAGAATTTAAGATTATACAAGTAAACAAGATATATACAATATGTAGTCTACTTTAAATAAAAAAATGAACTTGGCCTAGTGGTTGGTCTTCTCCCTTCTCCCCCAATGGTTGTTAGTTCATATCCCTTGTACCCCTGTTACCACTTTTAATTTTCTTTCTATTAGAGGCCTCTGGTTGGTGGAAACTAAATATATTAAATTAAAATAAATTAAATCCTCCAATTGAGTGGTGACACGTGTCATGATATTTGGTATTAGTGACACGTGACATTATTTGATTCGAAGATTAAATTTATATTTTAATTTACTTAATTTAGGACCAAATTGAGATAATATATAAGTAACAGTGACTAAATATGTAATTATACTAATTTTATTAACTGCCACATCAACACTTCCGTTAAATGCTAACAACAAGTGGTCTAATTGAATGTATTTAAATAATTGGATGTCTGATTGACAAGAATTCAAAAATAGTTGTCAAAATGAAAAAGAGCTATAGTTGGATGGTATCTAGTATAGTTTACCCTATAATCAATAACCTAAAATACACATTCATACATTTATATTCTCGCATTATCTTATAAGAGGTAGAGTACAAAATGTACACCATCACCCTGAAGCTGAATTTAAAAAATATATATATGGCAGCTTCCTCATTTTTATCAGTTACAAGTTGAAAGGGGAGATTATAAATGGTAATGATCAATCTAAGAAAGAGAAAATAAACACCCAAATAAAATAATAAAAAAGAACGTCCTTTCATCGAACAAGAAAACCCAAATCAAGAAGAAGAAAAAACTATAGAGAATGGATATATGTTTAAAACTCCTCCTTCATGGTTTGATATCGGAATCATCCCATGGCATGTTGAGATCAGTAGAGACAAGTGCATCGATATCGTCCCAATTCCAGTAGTTTGCTATGTCCATGTCACTGCTCGTGATAGGTATTTGCCACGTGTGTGAAATAGTGGCACTTGGGGTTGGCATGATGAAGCTGGTGATGGTTGGATCCTCCATCGTTTCACCAGTGTAGTTGTAGATACTTGAAGAATGAAATGATGTTGACACCGTTTCAAAAGAACTTGAGTTTGAACTTGAAAACGGGAATTGTAAGCCGTGAGTTTGAGGCAGCGACGGGGCTGTTGAAGCCGAACCCAGAATCACACCATTGCTTGTACTGAAACTTTTGCTGTCCAAGTTGTTGCAATTGAGAGGATTCTGCAGCAACGACGAAGATGGTGGAACTAGATGACCCATCGCCGGAAATTGCATAGTGGATATGTTCTTTTGGTCAGCAAGTGGAAGCTGAAGATCCTGCCTTTGTTGCTGTGATAGTTGAAATGCCATGAAGTTATTGTCAACACCTGAAGCAGTTGAGGTATTGAAGGCAATACTTGTTTTGGTAGTTGTGGCAGCTGAAGCAGTGATAGAATTCGATTTCTTGAGGCGCTTGTTTTTACTGCCACGGCCAACAGGAACATTGCGGAGAGTGCCACCTTTAGTCCAGTGTCTTTTACAAGCCTTGCAGAAATGCCTAGGCTGAGACTTGTTATAGTTGTTGTAATAACAAAACTTGGTGTTGGTTGAATCACATCTGGGACACTTGAGCTGCTCAGATTGCTGCTGCTTTTGTGGATGCTTCATTGCCTTGGGCAACTCCAGAGTTTGAGCCTGCAACAAAGATTGTCTCCACCCACTGGAAACCTCTTTAGAACTCAAGCCCCATATTGATCTGCAATTGGAGGAATGATGAGGTGAAAAGTCAATGGAATTCTAGCCTTTGGATCGAAGAGGGGCGAGGATGATGAAATTGTTCCTTGTAAGCCAATTAACAGGGTGATGTTGTGAAGAAATTTGATATGGAAGTGTGTTATTGTGAAGCGCAAGGAAATTCCCCGGAAGGTGATGAGAAGGGAGCATGCTTTGACCCTCTATCTTTAATCTAAGCTCTCTCTTCAATATATGCCACCCTATTAACTATTATATTTAATCTAAAGAGCAAGTAATTATTAAATATTAGGGGGAAAATCAAAAACAAAATTTTAGTTGGGAATTTTGGTTTGCTTGATAAAATAGGGGGGCGGAGGGGGTTTCTTCAATGTAAATCTAATTCAAATAAATTTTATAGTGCGGAATGAGAATTCCCCTTAGTCCTCAAGGTGACTTGGATGACACGTGGGATTATCTGGACCCTTCATAGTGGACCGATAGTATCTAAGGCCTGTAAAGAGAAGATAGAGCCTCATGCTTGTACGTATACTTCGAGAAATTATTAGAGAGTCCAACCTCACCACGTTTACAACAACATTTATTTATGTCATTTTTTCTAAAGTGAATAACTCTTTTTTATATGTAAATAAAAGATATGTGATTATTTAAAAATTACTTTGAAATTTGTAATTATCATTCACTTAAATCATGAATGACGTAATAAATCGAATCTATAAAATAATTTCTCGTTCACTTATAAGAAAGAGGTTGCATGCACCATATAAATTTAAAAGTAATAATCTTTTACTTAATATAATATAATAAAAGAGTATTTAATTCATAATAAATAATTTATATCATAAGTGAATCACGTGATGATACGGCATGATTGAACTTTTAAATTTTAAAAAATATAAATATTAAAATTGATCAAATTAAAATATATAAACTAAATTTATAATTTGTATATAGAATAAATGCTAATTAAATAATTTTATTTTATTTAATGATTATATAAAAAAGTTAAAATAACTATTATAATAATATTTCTATTAATATCTTAAAATTTGTTTTTTCATTTTTTATAATTAAATGTATACTCAATTAACTAATAACATCAACTAAATCGATCTCTTAAATAATAATATAAATAAAATATATTAAAATTCCATATTAAATACAAATAATGTTTATATATATATGCACTTGAGTCATGTTCAATATTTATATACGTGAAATGTTAAAATATTAAAATATTGATCATAAAAATATAAAAATTAGTTTAATTCTACATTATTAGGAAGTAGGTAAAGAGAAAGCAGTAAATCATTTATTGATACACTGATTACAATATAGGGGCTGTTGTATTTATATACTGCAAAGGTAGCTTAACAGAATAACCTCTCTTAACAGCAAGCTTAACAGCTTCCTAACTGCCTAACTTCTTCTAAACGACTAGTGCCATCATGGCACGTTCATCATGGCAAGCAGGGCTTGCTTCATACTGCTAATATTCTCCTGCTCCTTCTTGTCTTCTGAATTAGGCTTGATGAACACATATTTTGGATCGAAATTCTTCAAATGCAGTTCTAGCCAGTGGCTCAGTGAATCCATCTGCTATTTGATGCATAGCTGGAACATAACTGACACTTAGCTGGTCTGCTACTACTTTCTCACGTACAAAGTGGACATCAAGATCAACATGCTTTCATTGAGCATGGTATACTGGATTCGCGCTCTTGGCCTCATCACTTGTGTTGTCACACCAGACTACTGGCTTGTGACTCTGATGAATGCCAAGATCAGATAGTAGTGCTTGAACCCACATTATATCAACAGATGTGTATGCTACACTCTTGTACTCGGCCTCCATTGTGGACCAGGAGACGGCTCTTTGTTTTTTTTAACACCAAGTAACGAGGCACTTGCCAAGGAAGACCCCATACCCGGTGATAGATCGCTTGTCATCAAGGTTGGCTTCCCAATCTGCATCAGCAAAGGCGATTATATCTAGTCCATGACCAGTTTGTGAGAACAATAACCTGAAATTAATTGTTGCTGATAGGTAACGAGTATTCTTTTCATCACAACAAAGTGTGTCTCTCTCGGTGCATGCATATGTTGAGCAACTTGTCTCACACTAAACGAAATATCAGGTCTTGTGTGGCAAATATATAGTAGTGAACCAACTACACTTTGTATTCACTAGCATTCTGAATTAAGTCACCTTCTTCATGAGAGAGTTTGGGAGATACAACCATAGGTGTAGCACAACTTGCTGCATTCGACATTCCAGTTTTCACCAGCAGCTCTAGGATGTATTTTTTTTGACTAAGTACAACTGAGTTATTGCAACGTTTGACTTCAATTCCTAGGAAGAAGCTTAACTCCCCTAGGTCCTTTAATGAGAAACAACTTTGTAACATCGAAACAACCTGCTCTATAGTATTGGGATTTCATCCTGTAATTACTATGTCATCCACATAGACTAGAGCATAGATGTAGTTACCATCAGCTTGCTGAATAAACAATGACGAGTCTGCTCGAGACGCTATAAACCCTATTTATAGCAAATTCTCTTAAGTTTGGCATGCCAGTTGCGGGGTGCTTGTCGAAGTCCATAGAGTGCCTTCTTGAGTTTACACACAGGGGCTGGTTGCAATCATCTTCTTGTGAGGTTTTTGCATGTACACCTCCTCACATAGATATCCATTGAGGAATGCATTATTGATGTCAATATGTCAAAGCTGTCATTCATTAGAAACTGCTATAACTAATATTGTATTGAACATTGAAAACCGAACTACATGACTGAAACTGTCCTTGAAGTCCTGGCCTGGAACCTGTGAAAACCCTTTTACCACCAGACGTGCTTTATATCTATCACTGATCCATCAGGGTTGTATTTGACTCGAAAAAGCCATTTACATCTTACAACCATTCTGTCTTTAGGAAGCCTAACTAATGTCCATGTACCGTTGTTAATCAAGGCTTTGTACTCTTCATGTACTGCTGCAGCCCAGTAAGGGGATCGAAGAGCATCACTAATTGTGTTAGGAACATCATCATTATTCATGGCACTTGAAAATACCTTAGGCTTGAAAATTCCACATCGACTACGAGTCATCATATGATGAACTCGAGTCTAAGCAGCATCATATGTTACCTTATGTGTCATTATCTGGTATGCTGCCAGCATCTGCACCCACATCGACCTCTGCATTAGGTGCAGTTTCTGCTGAGTAGTAGCATCAAAAGTATGTTGCAGGGTATCATTTGGAATATGCTGAGGTCCATCATTGTTTGTCTCTAGTGCATTGGGAACCACTGAATTGTCATCCTCTTCATGCACAGTGGTTGTATTAGGTAATTGTTGTGGATCTTGACAGCATGAGTTTCTGAACTTTGTAACAATTCGAAGCGGCTGAGCGTTTGGTTTATTGTTGACTACAGATTCCAAGGGAACACCGCTTCCTTTTCCTGCAAACGGAAAGATAGATTCGTTAAACATAACATGGCGAGAAATATAAACTCAACCATCGGGTGCTAAACATTGAAAGCCTTTGTGTTGCAGGCTAACTCCCAAGTAAGTGCATTCTTGTGATCTGAAGGATAATTTATGTTTTTGAAACATTCTTAGATGAGGGAAGCATTGGCAGCCAAATACCTTCATCACTGAATACTCGGGTTTCTTCCCAAATAGCTTCTAAAATGGTGACATATCTTGTAATACTCTTGTTGGCAGACGATTAATTAAATGTACTGCAAAAGTGATGGCGTATGACCAATACTTGATTGGTAAAGATGCCTGGGCCAACAGTACTAAAGGCAGCTCAACAATATGACAGTGTTTCCTCTCTACTACACCGTTTTGCTCAGAGGTGTGTGGACACGTGAGCCTATGCAGAATGCCATCTCGAGACAGCAATGATGAAATACTGCGGAATTCACCACCCCAGTCTGTCTGTAGTGCTTTGATGGTAGTCCCAAACTGGTTAGATACAAGTTTTTAAAATAGTTAGAATGCTAAGTATACTTCATCTTTATGTTTCAATATGTAAATCCATGTGTGGCGAGTGAATGTATCCACAAAAGAGATGTAAAACTTAAAACCATTGGAGGACACATGTGGAGGTCCCCATAAATCTGAGTACACAAGTTCAAACGAGGAAGTTACCATTGTACTTGATTCATTGAAAGGCAATTTATGGCTTTTGCCTACATGACATGCAACACATTCTTTGTTTACATGAGGACGAATTTTAACACCTAGTTCACAAGCTATTTTTGTGAGAGTCTTAACAGCTGGATAACTAAACCGTCGATGCCATAGCTTGTCTAATCGAATTGAAACTCCACTGACATTAGCTTGTGCAACATGAACTTCTAGGGGTTTATCCACGGCAAAAGAATACAGGCCATCAGTTTCTTCACCTTGAAGCAGCAGCATTCCAGTAACTTCATACCGAACACAATATCTATTTGCGTGAAACTCAATGAAGACATCATTGTCCTTAGCAAGCTTTGAAATCGAAAGCAGATTCTTGGTTATTTGAGGCACATGCAGCAAATCATTCAAGAACAGTATAGGTGACGAGGTATTTACATGAGCATGACCAACCAAATTAACACCAAGGGACATACCATTCCCAATTAAAAGCTTACATGGACCTCGATATTCAGATGAGTTCAGAACCTTATTGGCATCTGTAGTAATATGTTGCGTGGCTCCTGTGTCAACCACCCAACGCTCTGACTGCAGAGATGTGACATGAGCTTCTGGTTGATCTCCTGTAAATGAGCCACTTCTTTTCTTTGCACAACATTCATAGCCATCGTCAGCAGATGAACTTGTAAAATTGTTAGAAGAGGGAGCAGCTTTGTACTCATATTGATACTGGCCTTGATAAGCAGAAGTGACACAGGAGAAGTCTTTGTTAAATCTGTGTCAACATCTATCAACAAGGTGGCCAACTTTTCCACAGAGTTGACATTGAACTCTCGATCTGCCTCGACCTCTACCATTGGTTCGTGAATTGTAAGAATAGCCAGATCGTTGATTAGGATTATTAGAAGAGTTTCTTACTTCACTTTGTGCAACATTTGCACTCATCAAAAGATGAATTCCGACGGTGAAACTGATTCACATTCGAAACTGCCGACAGAAAAATCGATGTCAAGGAAGAATAAAGTAGCTTGTTGATGCATGAGTGACGCTTAATGATCGAAACAGCAGCACTGTCAATGACGGTGGAATAGCAATCTCACTGTGGCAGCAACTGCGTGAGAGAAAGGAGTCTGATGGTGCAACAGCGGAAAAAATGGTGTCAGAATCTTTTTAGCGAATGATACCATATTAGG